GTTTTCATTTATTATAATTCCTGATTCATTTGGGCTTAAATGTACCATCTTAATAATATTTGCTTTCTGCTTGTCCCATGTGTTCTATGTTCTTTTTTCTGTCCTTTTCTTCCTTTTGAATGGATTATTTTTAAATTACTCCATTTTTCTCCTCTTTATCTGGCTGGTTTAATGATTTTTTTTTCTTTGTATTGGATCTTTAACAATTCCGGTATGGTTTTCTTTTGGTTTATCGTGCTTAGGGGTTGTAATGCTTCTTAAACCTGAGTCTTGATATCTGTCATCAATTCTAAGAAATCCCAAGCCATTATCTCTTCAGATAATGCTTCTGCCTCTTCTCTCTTTCTGGGACTCTAATTACATGCAAATTAGACCTTTATACTATATCCCATATGTCTCTTAGCTCTTTCCATATTTTCCATCCTTCCGTTTCTTTACAGTTTAATTTGAATATTGTCGTCTGGCCTCTCTTATATTTCACCATTTCTCTCTTCAGCTGTGTTTAATTTGCTGTTAAACCCACTCATTAAATTCTTCTTTTAGTTACTGTTTCTTTTAACATGTAGAATTCTCATTTGGTTCTGCATTGTTGTTGTTGTTGTTAGATGCCGCTGAGTGGGTTCCGACTCATAGTGACCCTGTGTACAACAGAACGAAACACTGCCTGGTCCTACGCCATCCTCACGATCATTGTTATACTTCAGCCCGTTGTTGCAGCCACTGTGTCGGTCCATCTTGTTGAGGGTCTTCCTCTTTTTCACTGACCCTCAAGTTTACCAAGCATGATGCCCTTCTCTAGGTACTGCTCTCTCCGGATAACATGTCCAAAGTATGTGAGACGAAGTCTCACCATCCTGCTGAGGCGCATTCTGGCCATACTTCTTCCAAGACAGATTTGTTTGTTATTTTGACGGTCCATGGTATATTCAATATTCTTTGCCAACACCGCAATTCAAAGGCATCAATTCTTCTTTGGTCTTCCTTAATTCATTGTCCAGCTTTCGCATGCATATGAGGTGATTGTAAACAGCATGGCTTGGGTCAGGCACACCTTAGTCCTCAAAGTGACATCTTTGCTTTTTCAACTTTAAAGAGGTCTTTTGCAGCAGATTTGCCTGATGCAATGTGTCATTTGATTTCTTGACTGCTGCTTCCATGGGTGCTGATTTGTGGATCCAAGGAAAATGAAATCCTTGACAACTTCAATCTTTTCTCTGTTTATCATGATGCTGCCTGTTGGTCCAGTTGTGAGGATTTTTGTTTTCTTTATGATGGATGCAATCCATACTGAAGGCTGTGGTCCTCTTCACTTTCAGCAAACAAAGTTGTGTCATCTGCATATCGCAGGTTGTTAATGAGTCTTCCTCCAATCCTGATGCCCTGTTCTTCTTCACATAGTCCATATTCTCGTATTATTTGCTTAATATACAGATTGAATAAGTGCGATGAAAGGATACAACACTGATGTACACCTTACCTGACTTTAAACCATGCAATGTCCCGTAGTTCTGTCTGAACGACTGTCTCTTGATCTATGTACAGGTTCCTCATGAGCATAATTAAGTGTTTTGGAATTCCCATTCTTTGCAGTGTTATCCATAACCTGTTATGATCCACACAGTTGAATGCCTTTGCATAGTCAATAAAACACAGGTAAACATCTTTCTGTTATTCTCTGCTTTCAGCCACGATCCATCTGACATTAGCAATGATATCCCTCCTTCCACATCCTCTTCAGAATCCAGGTTGAATTTCTGCCAGTTCCCTGTCAATGTACTGCTGCAGCCATTTTTAAATGATCTTCAGCAACATTTTACTTGTGTGTGATATTAATGATATTGTTCCATAATTTCTGCATTCTGTTGGATCACCTTTCTTTGAAATAGGCATAAATATGGATCTCTTCCAGTCAATTGGCCAGGTAGCTGTCTTCTGAATTTCTTGGCATAGATGAGTGAGCACTTCCAGTGGTGCATCCATTTGTTGAAACATCTTAGTTGGTACTCCGTCAATTCCTGGAGCCTTGTGTTTGGCCAATGCCTTCAGTGCAGCTTGGACTCCTTCCTTCAGTGCCATCGGTTCCTGATCATATGCTGCCTCCTGAAGTGGTTGAATGTCAACCAGTTCTTTTTGGTACAGCAACTCTGTGTATTCCTTCCATCTTCTTTTGATGCTGCCTGTGTCATTCAGTATTTTGCCCATAGAGTCCTTCACTATTGCAACTCAGGGCTTGAATTTTTTCCTCAGTTCTTTCAGCTTGAGAAATGCTGAGCATGTTGTTCCTTTTTGGTTTTCTAACTCCAGGTCTTTGCACATTTCATTATAATGTTTTACTTTATCTTCGTGAGCTGCTCTTTGAAATCATCTGTTCAGCCCTTTTACTTCATCATTTCTTCCTTTCGCTTTAGCTACTCTATGTTCAAGAGCAACTTTCAGAGTCTCTTCTGACATACATTTTGACATTTTCTTTCTTCCCTGTCTTTTTAATGACTTCTTGTTTTCTTCATGTATGATGTCCTCAATGTCATTCCATAAGTCGTCTGATCTTCTGTCATTAGTGTTCAGTGTGTCAAAACTATTCTTGAGATGGTCTCTAAATTCAGGTAGGATATACTGAAGGTCATATTTTGGCTCTCTTGTACTTTTTCTAATTTTCTTCAGCTTCAACTTGAACTTGCATATGAACAATTGATGGTCTGTTCTGCAGTCGGCCCCTGGCCTTGTTCTCACTGATGATATCGAGCTTTTCCATCGTCTCTTTCCACAGATGTAGTTGATTTGATTCCTGTGTATTCGATCTGGTAAGGTCCACATGTACAGTTGCCGTTTATGTTGTTGAAAAAAAGTATCTGCAGTGAAGAAATTGTTGGTCTTGCAAAATTCTATCATGCAGTCTCCAGCATCATTTCTATCACCAAAGCCATGTTTTCCCACTACCAGTCCTTCTTGTTTGTTTCCAACTTATGCATTCCAATCACCAGTAATTATGAATGCATCTTGATTACATAATTGATCAATTTCAGACTGCAGAAGTTGGTAAAAATCTTCAGTTTCCTCATCTTTGGCATTAGTGGTTGGTGCTTAAATTTAAATAATAGTCATATTAACTGGTCTTCCTTGTAGGCATATGGATATTATATTATTACTGACAGCATTGTGCCTTAGGATGGTACTTGGATTGTTCTTTTAGACGATGAATGTGACACCATTCCTTTTCAAGTTGTCACTCCCAGCATAGTAGACCATATGATTGTCTGATTCAAAATGGCCAATACCAGTGCATTTCAGCTCACTAATGCCTAGGATATCCATCTTTATGCATTCCATTTCATTTTTGACTACTTCCGGTTTTCGTAGATTCATACTTCATACACTCTACGTTTCAATTTTTAATAGATGTCTGCAGCTGTTTCTTCTCATTTTGAGTCATGCCACATTAGCAAATGAAAGTCCTGAAAGCTTGATTCCATCCACCTCATTAAGCTCCACTCTACTTTGAGGAGGCAGATAGTCTCCATCGTATGTTGAGTGCCTTTCAACCTGAGGGGCTCATATTCCGACACTGCATTGGACAGTGTTTCACTGCCATTCATAAGGTTTTCACTGGCCAAGTTTTTGAGAAGTAGACTGCTACATCCTTCTTTCTAGTCTGTCTTAGTGTAGAAGCTCCACAGAAACCTGTCCACCCAGGGTGACCCTGCTGATACTTGAAATATCAGTGGCATAGATTCCAGTGTCACAGTAACACATCAGCCTCCACAGTACAACAAACTGACAGACTAGTGGTAGATTTTAAGCATAGTCATTTAAAGTAGGGCTTCGAACTGGTTCAAAACAGGTTCAGTCATGGCTGACGGAAACAAGGGCAGCACATGTGTTCCATAGCAACCAAAGCTCTTGCCAGTTAGATTTTATCCCAAGTAGGAAACAACACTGCCCCGCGCTCAAAGATTACAGCTGACTGCGCAACTTTGAATATGTATTGTTCTCCACAGTCCTGCCAATAATCCTCCCACATCAGATTGAATTATTGGTAGGACTGTGTAGAGCGACACATATTCAAAGTGGAGTGGTCGGCCACCACCTTTGAACATGGCAGCCCTGTTTCCTACTGGGGACAAAATCCAACGAGCGAGAGCTTTGGTTGCTATGCAGTGCGTACTATGCCCTTGTTTCCATTATCCATGACTAAACCGTTTTGAACTGGTTCGATGCCCTGTTGTAAAATCTACGCTTGATATCTCCATTATTTGGGTCTTCTCTGGATCCACTTCTATTATCTATTTTTTCTCTTGGCTTATGGTCATGTGTTTTTTTTCCTTATAAAGCTGGTGATTTTTGGTTGAGTGCTGGGCATTATAAAATATGGTAGTGATAAGTTGAGGCTCTGGGTGATAACTTTCTCTAGAAAGGACTTAACCTTTGCTCTGGCAGGTGGCTAAGCTGGGGGCAATCCACATCACCACCTAATCCAATCAAGTTCTAAAACAATTAGAAGCTGGTTTTACAGTCCCTACAAGGGCTTGTCTATTTCCAGTTCACCCTGATTCCTAGGGTGTAGCCGTTTAGGGCATTCTCCAGGACCCGTCCTTTCCAGTGGGCCCTGATTGCCAGCTTTTGCCCCACCCCACCCAAGTCTATTGAGAGCTCTGTTCCGCCTCATAAACCTGAAGACACTAACTCTTTTGGAGTCAGCATATGTTTCTCAGAAAAGAGGCTCTGCCCCCGGCCTCCTCCATGCCCCATCTTGGCCCTGCAGTGCTACAGAGAGGTTTAAGTTGTGTCTCAGGGAGGGTTGGTCTGAGATCCCCCCGAGGCAGTGTCTTTCCCGTTATCTGTGCTTGTTCAAGGGCTAGGTGGCAAGGAAGCCGGTGGGACGTTCCTCTGGGCAGGTGGGCAGGCAGCGTCTCGGGGAGCCATCTGCCAGGATGGTTGAGGTGCTGGGTCCTGGTCAGGTGCACTGGCCCAAGGGCTCACTTTCTGTTTTTCTGGTCATATAGGGGCTGCTCCCAGGTCGGCATCATCCGGGCCCTGGCCGAGTTTGGCATCCCTGTAGACATGGTTGGAGGAACATCCATTGGGGCTTTCATGGGGGCCCTGTACTCTGAGGAACGAAACTACAGCCGGATGCGCATCCGGGCCAGGCAGTGGGCTGAGGTGAGGACAGGGCACCGGGCCCTTTGGGGGGAGCTGGACGCAGAGACGGTCACAGCTTCCACAGGGCTCTGTTCTCAAGGAGAACAGCCTCCCTTTTCACCCCCACCGGCTGAGGCAGAAGCTTGGGCTGTTTAGCCCTCAGGCCTCAGAGTATGGTTTGTGGGGTGAAGGAAATCCCTAGAGAAGACTATTTCTTGGTAAAAAGGAAGTAAAGAACATTGATTAGTGATGGGAACTGGGCTGCTACTAGTGAAGCAGACAGCAGAGAGGGGAGCAGAGAGCAGAGCAGAGCAGAGAGGAGAGCAGAGAGCTGAACAGAGTAGACAGCCAACCAGAGCATGGAGCAGAGAGTGGAGAAGGGAGCAGGGCAGAGAGCAGACCAGAGAGCAGAGCAGAGAAGAGAACAGAGCAGAGCAGAGGGCAGAGCAGAGGGCAGAGCAGGGAGCAGAGCTGAGGGCAGAGCAGGGAGCAGAGCAGAGGGCAGAGTATGGAGCAGAGCAGGGAGCGGAGCAGAAGGCAGGGCAGAGGGCAGAGCAGGGAGCAGAGCAGAAGGCAGAGCAGAGGGCAGAGCAGGGAGCAGAGCAGAAGGCAGAGCAGAGGGCAGAGCAGGGAGCAGAGCAGAAGGCAGAGCAGAGGGCAGAGCAGGGAGCAGAGCAGAAGGCAGAGCAGAGGGCAGAGCAGGGAGCAGAGCAGAGGGCAGAGCAGGGAGCAGAGCAGAGGACAGAGAAGAGAACAGAGCAGAGCAAGGAGCAGAGAGCAGCAGCAGGAGGGTGGGCTCCCACCTTCCCAGGTCCTTGGGCTGTGGGGTGTACTTTTTAGAACTGTGCTTGTTTGAGGGGAACAAAACAGCTCTGGTTGAAGCCATGAATGGGATCAAAGGTGTCTGTGTTCTCCTTTGAAGAAAAAAGGAGTAGCTCACCATCGCCTCATGGCAGCAGCTCCTACAGCAGGCCAGGCCCCGAGGGCACCACCCGGGCACTCCTCTGTGCCAAAAATAACGAACACTCTGTCCCTGAGATGCGTCACTCTGGTCACCTGCAGTGTGGCCGCTCTAAAGAGAGGGCAAGGGCAGCTCCTCAGGATGGGGTGGGCAGCCCTGCCGAGCCCCAACCGGGCCTCTCCTGCCCCCCCAGCACCCTCTCCCACCTGAGCAGGGCCAGCGGGCCTTGTAGGGGTAGGGGGTGAATGGCCCAGCCTGGGGGCTCATGCCTCGCAGTCACCCCAGAAGCCCCAGATGCCTGAACTCAGGACCCCTGGGATGGAACTAAGCTCAGCAGTTCTCAGCGTGCCCCCTCCTCCCCAGGACATGACGTCCGTGGTGAACATGGTGCTGGACCTGACCTACCCCATCACCTCCATGTTCTCGGGTGCCGGCTTCAACAGCAGCATCTGCAGGGTCTTCAAGGACCGGCAGATAGAGGTGCCACCCCCACCCCCACCCCACAGCACTACTGCCCCCTGGACACTCATGCCCCCAGGACACCCAGACCTGCCCTAGAGCCAGGTGTGTGGCCTGAGTGGGGCGGGAGGAGTCCACAGAACCCCAGCTGGAGACCCTCACCGCCGGCACCCCCTCCCACCCTGCCTCTCCCCTCCCCTGCAGGACCTGTGGCTGCCCTACTTCACCATCACCACAGACATCACAGCCTCAGCCATGCGCGTCCACAGGGACGGTGAGGGCGGCCTCGAGCTGGCTGGGAACGAGGGTGGGGCCGGGGGCAGTAAGGGACACGGGGCTGGGAGCATGTGGGGTTCCCAAGGAGGCAGGAGACCTCGCCTCCACAGGCAGAGGATGGTCGTGGGACACAGCCAGGTATGGGGGCCCCTTGGCAGCAGGAGCTGGGGGTGGGGTGAGGTGGGAGGGTTGGAAGGTAGTGGCCAGGGGCAGGAGGCTCTCCGAGGTGAGTCTGGTGCCGCCCCCGAGGTCAGGACCTAGCCAAGGAGCCCTCAGCAGGTCCTGCCACCTCTTCCACCTGCCCCCTCCTGCCTCCAGGCTCCCTGTGGAGGTACGTGCGTGCCAGCATGTCCCTGTCCGGCTATATGCCCCCACTCTGTGACCCCAAAGATGGACACCTGCTGATGGATGGGGGCTACATCAACAACCTCCCAGGTACTCAGCCGGCAGCGGCCCAGCTGGTGTGGCGCCCCACCCCCAGGGCCCTGTGCGCCTCCCTTTCTGCAAGGCTGGGGTGGCGCACGCTTTCCACAGACCGAGCCAAGGGAAGGTTCCGGGCTGGCACTGCACACAGAGAGAACATGCACCCACACACACGTGCACACACGCACACACAAACATGCTCACACACGTGCACACACATGTAGACTCACGTGTGTATGCACACACACACGTGCGCATGCACACACGCAGATGCAGCGTGATCGGAGCATATGGCTTTGCTGGTGAGCTCAGCAGCACTCGGAACGGAGGCCAAGAGGAGGCCGGTGCAGCAAATGGGGGAGCACTTGGCCCCCTGTGTGCCGCTGTGGGAAACTGAAGGCCTGCAGGTGTCGGGCTGCGGGGTGCAGCCTACCTGGCCACACCTGTCACCTGTGGGGCCTGCAGTCGGTGTGGGGGGCACGGCTCTGTGCCGGGTGAGGGTCTCGCCCTGACTCCTAGACTTTGCCCAGGCTGGGCCTGCCTGACCTGGTGCCGCCGCGGCCCCTCGTCTTTCCCGCAGCAGACGTGGCCAGGTCCATGGGGGCGAAGGTGGTGATTGCGGTTGATGTGGGCAGCCAGGACGAGACAGACCTGACCAACTATGGCGACGCCCTGTCAGGGTGGTGGCTGCTCTGGAAGCGCTGGAACCCCTTGGCCACAAAAGTCAAGGTGGGGAAGCCTGCAGGCAGGTGCAGGCTGGACGGGACCTGGGCATGCTTTGCCCACCTCAGGCCGCCATGCCCGGGGAGTAGCTGCTGTCTGGGCTGGGTGGTGCCGGCCTCTCCTTGGTAGCCCCCTGACACCCCCCTATGCCTGTGCTCACACGGGCCACTCCTTCTTGGGGGGTGGATAGGACTCTTCTGGCCCCTGTGGCCAGGGTGGGGGTGCCTTTGAGGCTCGATGTCTGGGGTCCCAGGGCCACTCACTTGCTCTTTGCCCAGGCCCTGGGGCCACCTCTGGAAAAGGGACAGGCCTAGGGAAGGGTCTTGGTGGTGGGAGCAGACAGTGGTGTCAGGGTCCTCCACGCTCACTAGGACACACCTCCAGAGGCTCTACTGGGACACCTGGCTGCCTGCCTGCTCCGCCTTACATGCTGCCACACACACTCACCCCCCACGTGCCCCGCCACGTGCACACCCATACTCCCCCCTATGCACACACCCCCACACCTTCCCATGCACACTCACAGCCCACGTGCACACACCTCCGTGCACACACCTGGAGGCACAGGTGCACACACTCGGCCAGCACCTGTGGTGAGGGTGTGGTCCTCCTAGCCTTGGGAGCCTGCACTGGGCGCTTTTCCTGCCCTCCCTCCCCTCCCCTCAGGGCAGAGCAGTGGACAGGGCAGAGGATCCTGTCCTCCTGCAGAGAAATCAGCCTCCCCTTCGGTATTGGGCGAAGATGCGATGGGGAAAGGAGCTGAGGAGTGGAGAGGGGAGGGGAGGAGTGGGAGGAGTGGGGTCATGCCCATGTGGGGTCGAGGGTTGCAGAGTCATGGGGGCAGCCTCTGCCTGGATGCTGTGCGACGCAGGTGCTGAACATGGCAGAGATCCAGACACGCCTGGCCTACGTGTGCTGCGTCCGGCAGCTGGAGACAGTGAGAAGCAGTGACTACTGTGAGTACCTGCGCCCCCCCATCGACAGCTACGGCACGCTGGACTTTGGCAAGTTCGACGAGATCTGCGTGAGTGTCAGCTGCTCATGCAGGGGCGGGGACCCAGCCCTTATGACACAGGGCCCTGGGTGTGCACAAGAAGTGGTTACCAGCAGGGTCCCCCAGCCCCTGTAACAGAGCCCTGGGTGTGCACAGGAAGCGGGTACCAGCAGGGCCCCCAGCCCCTGTAACAGAGCCCTGGGTGTGCACAGGAAGCGGGTACCAGCAGGGCCCCCAGCCCCTGTAACAGAGCCCTGGGTGTGCACAGGAAGCGGGTACCAGCAGGGCCCCCAGCCCCTGTAACAGAGCCCTGGGTGTGCACAGGAAGTGGGATACCAGCATGGACGGACGGTGTTTGACATCTGGGTTCGAAGTGGTGTGCTGGACAAGATGCTGAAGGACCGGCAGGAGACAAAGACGAAAGCCTGTGATGTAAGTGGCCCCTCTCTGCACCTCTCCACCCCCTGCCGCCCTCCTCCACGCTGGGCCTCCCTGCGGCCCCTGCACCCACACTCTCAGGCTGCACCTGAGGGACACAGTGGGAGACCTGCAGGCACCCTGGCTGGCCCTGCACCGCCATCGGGTCTTCCACCACCCGTCACCCTACCCCACCCTGGGGCAGGGCCACCTAGGCAGGTGAGCTACTTGGCCCAGGGGGCGGGAGCAGAGGTTGGCCCACCAGGCTGCTCTTCCAGCTGCATCAGGCCCACGGAGTGGGCAGCTCAGGGAGGGGGGCTGGGGTCCCAGTGAGGGCATTGGCTCCCTCAGCCCGCTATGACCTCCCTCGTCCTGGCCCTGCAGGTTCTCACCTGCCCAAACGCCTCCTTCACGGACCTCGCAGAGATTGTGTCAAGGATTGAGCCTGCCAAGGCAGCCACGGTGGACGGTGAGTGGCTGCTCCAGTGTGTGCCTGCTCCCTGCCCTGAGGGTGTCGGGGGCAACATCCCTCCTGCCCGGCACAGTGTTGAGATAGGGTGGGACTCCTGGCCTCACCCTCAGCCCTGGGTGCTGCTCCCTGTCCTGGGGACTGGCTTGTCCACGCTTCTCCACCCTGTTCTCACTCCAGGTGCACACCCCACCCTCCTCCTGGACCCCGGCTCCCCCTGCCATGTCTGCCCTCCTCCTGGGGCCCACACCCCCGCCTGTGCTGGCCCCTTCCTGGCACTCCCTTTTCCTGCCCCCCGCTTCTCCCAGGCCCCATCCTCAGGGAGAACATCCACAGAAAAGCTGGTGTTTCTTGGTCCTTGTTAAGACCCAACAGCCCATGGCAGTGGGGGACTCCCCATCCTGACTACTCAGGCCCCTGCCCCCCCTTGACCCAAATCCCCAGCCGGGTCCTCCACATGAGGGGAGACCACCCTCGCCGCCTGCACCAGCCCTGTGCTTCGTGAGGGCTGGGGAGGGGCTTCGGCACTTGGAGGCCAGCCAAGCACTGCTGGTCGGGTCTGTGGTCGGGCCTCCACTAGCCAGCTGGCAAGGCTTCAGCACAGCCCTGGGCCATACTGGGCCTGCTTCTGAGCCTGAATCAGAGGGGCCGTCATCATGGGGGGTGTCAGCACTGCACTCACACACCCCCACCAGCCGTGTGAGTGGAGTGTGGGCAGTGTGTGCCACGGGCCCAGAGTGCAGGGGCCGCCCCACTTTGTGCCAGGCTGGGGCTGCAGACCTCCCTCAGGACACACCCGGGCAGGGGCAGGAGGTGCCATGTGGGGACCATTGTGGCTCTCTCTCTGCCCAGATGAGTCTGACTACCAGACCGAGTACGAGGAGGAGCTGCTGGGCGTCCCCAGGGACACGTTCACAGACTTCCAGGGCACCCCGGTCCAGGAGGACTCGGACTCGGTGAGCCTTCGGGGAGAGCGTGCCCATGGACCGTGCAGCCTGAGGCCTGCCCTCCGGGGCCCCAGCTGTGCGGCCCTCGGGCGCCCGTGGGTGTCGGGTCACTGGAGAGGGTCGGCCCTCCTTGAGGCTGTGCCTTGCTTCCAGGAGTACGAGCCCTCACTCCGGCAGCGCCTGCACCCTGGTCTGGCTTCCCCGGCGTCCTCACGGGACCTCTCCCCACCCTCATTCTCCGACCAAGATGGGTAGAGGCAGTGCTCCGGATGCCGGCCTCTGTCCACGGCTGCAGAGCCCCTCAGCAGCCTGGGAGCGTCCAGACTTTTGGCACTGGGCCGTGTCTCGGGGGGTTCCGCCAGGCCCTGCTCCTCTGCAGCCTGGGGCGTCCTGAGCCCTCCAGACCTCCGTGAGGTCTTGGAGCCATGAAACTTCGGCCCAGCACATTAAAGAGCTAGAATGGAGTTGTGTGTCGCCGTCTGTTCACTGTCCGGCCGGTCAGTCCCCTAAAGGGCCTGGGTCTGTCGGGTACATCCCTGGGGCGGTGGGAGTCAGCCTGCCCCTCCTCCCTGCGGGCTGAGACCACCCTGCCCCTCTGATGGGGCTGAGACTCTCGGGGCAGTTCTGGGCCTTGCTGCGGGGCGCTGGGGTCTGCGATGGGGGCCGAGGTCCCTCCAAACCCAGGACGAGCCCCGCACAGTTCAACCCGTGTTACACAAGACGCGCCCCTATAAACGGCAGCCCACACTTTATTTCTACATCATGTACACAGCGCCGGAGAACCCCCCCGTACAAAACCAAGGATTACGGAGCGTCCTGGGGTTGAGGAATCCGGGGGGTCCCGGCGGGTTCTGGGGTAAGACATGCACCGCGGGGTGTGGTCTGCGAGAAGCCGGGATCCTAGACACGGGGGCGGGAAGACCCCAGACCTCGGGGCCGTGCACCTTGCGGTCAGCGGACTGCCGGCCTCCTTTTGGGCTCCGGAATCTGGCTCCTCTCCCCCGCGCCCCTCGTGGAGCAGGGCGCGTGACGTCACGGGGCGGGGCTCTCGCAGCGAGTCCCCGCCCCGGGCCCGTGACGTCACGGTGGGCGGAGCCTCCCGGTCTGTGCAGGCTGCTCTCCCCGGTGCAGCGGGACGCGAGGGCCGGGCGCGGCCATGCAGGGCCCGGGCCCGACCCCGACTCCTCCAGCCCTGTTCCGGACCCCGACTCCAG